GCTGGGCTCTCTGGGAGGAGGACTTAAAGCACCCGACGAGGTATATTACTTTGCTAGGGCTACTGTCCCAAAGTGCCACAAACTGGGGGGCTTTAAGCAACAGAAATGTATTCTCTCAAAGCTCTAGGGCTGTCAGCCATGCCATGCTCCCTCCCAAGGCTCGGGGGGACGATCCTTCCCTGCCTCTTCCTAGATTCTAGCCACCCCAGGCATCACCTGGCTGGTGGCCCCAGGACTCCCATCTGTGCCTCCCCCTGTCTTCATGTGGCTTTCTCTGCGTGTCCCTCTGTGTCCTTTCTGCTCCTCAAAAGGTCACTCTTGTCAGATTTAGGGCTCACCGGAATCCAGTAGGATCTCATCTCTATCCTTAACCCATTACATCTGCAAAGACCCTATTTCAAGGTCACATTCTGAGGTTCTGGGTGGGTACAAATCTTTGGGGGAACACTACTTAACCCACCACCCATGGAGCTTTGCTTTTCATAGATTTATTTATTTTTAAGTTTCATTTCTTTTCTTTTCTTTTTTTTTAAGATTTTATTTATTTGAGAGAGAGAGAGGGTGAGCGAGAGAGCACAAGCAGGGGGAGCAGCAGAGGGAGAGGGAGAAGCAGGCTCCCCACTGAGCAGGGAGCCAGACGCAGGGCTCCATCCCAGGACCCTGAGATCATGACCTGAGCTGAAGGCAGTCGCTTAATCAACTGAGCCACCCAAGTGCCCCTTAAGTTTCATTTCTCTGTGTTCCCAGGACCAGTCACTGTCACGCACGTAAGCACACATTCTCTCCTGCCCCTTGTTCTCAGCTCTCATGCTAGAGGGGCGAGCGCAGGCAGGAAGAGACGGGTTGGTACAGCCCCTTCTGAGCTCGGAGTGCTTCCCAGGGGCTCCTTGTCTCTGCTGTTCTCTGAGGCCCCTTCCCCCGGGGGCTCCTGTCTGTCTGGCCCCAGGATGCTGGCCAAGCCCGGCACCTCAGAAATGACCAGCGAGGCTCAGTAGCTTATCCAAGTGTCCTTACCTTCAGGGTGTTTGGTTCAGCAGTGTCCTTGCTGTTTTTCAAAGATCTGAGGAAAACCGCACGAAGTCCCTTTGGATCCAAGTCCTTCCCCAACCAGGTTGTCAGAGTTCATGCTTTCCAGGGGTGGGGAGAGGTTTGGTGAGCTTTTCCCTCAGAAATCAAAGCAGAGAGGGAAAGTCAAGGGGATGCATGACTCTCTTGGTCAAGGGGTTGCCACAACAATACCACAGACCCGTGGCTTAAGCAGCAGAAAGTTATTTCTCACAGTTCTAGAGGCTGAGAAGCCCAAGATCAAGGTGCTGGTAGATTCAGTCCCTGCTGAGAGCCTGCTTCCTGGCCTGTGGGTGTTAGGCTCCTTCCTGTGTTCTCACAGGGCAGGGAGAGAGAGAGAGCCAGAGAGAGAAAGAGAGAGGGAGGGAAGAAGAGGGAGGGGGAGAGGTATGGAGGGCGAGCAAACTCTGGTCTCATCCTTTTCTTATAAGGGCATCAGTCCTATTTGGGGGCTCACCCTCATGACTTCATCTAAACCTAATTATATTCCAAAGGCCCCACATCATAACATTGGTGGTTAGAGTTTCAACATATGAGTTTGGTGGGGTTTGGGGTGGGGGGGACACAATTCAATCCATAGCAATGACCCTGTGAGCAGGGAAGCTAGGATCCATAACCAGAGAGCAGAGACAGCCACAGTGAAGTCTTTGTAGATTTCCTTCGTTTTTGATGGTCTCCCCCGACAGTTTTTCCTTTAAAAAGAACGAGGTCTGTGCGGTGCCTGGCTGGCTCAGTCTGTAGAGCATGCGACTCTTGATACCAAGTTCGTGAATTGGTGTAGAACTTTAATAATAATAATAATAAAGTAGGTCTGTGTACTTGCTTTGGGGCAGCAAGAAAAAGGGCAGGTGGGGAGACAGGGTTCCATGACAAGGGCCAGAAAAGATAGCTGGGGAGGAGGACAGGCAGACTGACAGGGGGTGTGGCAGGGAGAATGGAGAGCAGGGTTGGCTGGTCTTGACTGGCAAAGGGTTTTGAGGCATATTAATACCCAGATACATCCATCCCATATAATGGCTACAGCCATAGAGCCATAGATTTGGCGTTCTTGGGTGGTGATTGATAGAACCAACCCCATCTCAAACTGGCTTAAAGAGACAAAGGAATTTATGACCCGTATAAGTGAAAATTTCAGGCATGGCTGGATCTAGGTGCTCACATGGTATCCTCACGCATTCCTATTTCCTAGTACTGCTCTGGCTTTTCTGCCAAGGCAGGTGCTCCTTAAATGGTGGGAAACCACAACCATAACTACCACAAAGACAACAGCCACGTGGTTGCTGCAGTGAAAGGTGCTTCAGGGACGAATTGTACCACTGGCTTCACCCTTCACCCCCTTCTGATGCACGCCCTCTGCCAGGCTTGCAGTGCTTGCCCATGTGACTCGCTTGACCCAAAAGCATATGGCGGAAGTAACAGGGGCAGCGCCAAGCCTAGGCCTCCCGATTCTTGTCCCTTTCTCTTAACTCTTGTGCTCTGGCCATTCCCATGAGAAAGACGTTTCCAGGCTGGCCCACTGGTTCCAGGAGGGGGATGAGAGACACATGGGGCAGAGACGACTTACCCCTGCCCAGGCAACCCTAGACAAGCCAGTCACCTGGCCCAGCCAAGATGGGAAGGCTGAACCTGTGTGACACGTGACCAATCAACATGACAGATGCCACTAAGATGACAAAATTTTTTTTGAAGATTTTATTTATTTATTTATTTGAGACAGAGAATGAGAGAGAGAGAGCACATGAGAGGGGGGAGGGTCAGAGGCAGAAGCAGGCTCCCTGCCGAGCAGGGAGCCCGATGCGGGACTCGATCCAGGGACTACAGGATCATGACCTGAGCCGAAGGCAGTTGCTTAACCAACTGAGCCACCCAGGCGCCCTAAGATGACAAAATTTAACTATTGTAATTTCTTTCCTAACCATTCCGGCAGAGGCCCCCAGTCATCTGCGCAAACCCAAGCCAGCCCCTCTGGCCCTTTGTATTACTCCCACTACATGGGCTAAAACTGGGGAGGGTCGGATTTCCAAAGGGAAACTGGGGGTTGGTTATAGAATACAGAGAAGTCGCTCCGCTGTTACTTACCAAATGCTCCTTGGGCTTGAACCATTTTCTCTGCAGTAGCTTTGGAGGTGGGAGTGCTTCTACCCCACTAACCAAGTAAGGAGTGAGTCTTCCTCCTGTCCTGTGGGAAGCTCAGGGGTTTGTCCACATCCTCCAGGGGGGGAGTCGCTGAATCCGAGCTCATTTTAGTGGCTTCAGGGATTCTGCTCTGTGAGACGGCGCGTACCCAGGGTCTGTCTCTGCGCTCCAGCCTCAGGGGACCCGTTTCCAGCTCTGCCGCTGGTTTCCTTTGAACCTCCTGCTGATGTCCCTCAGCTTTCCTCTGCTCAAGGATTTTCCTGTACAAGTAGAAAATAAAAAGAAACATTCCCAATTTACTGTTGTGAGCTCCTATTTATGCCCCTCTCAGCAAATATTCAGCATACATGACTTTCACCATATATGTCTGAATATGAGGTGAGGTGGTGTGTGTTTGTTTGTTTTTCTTCCCAAAATTATGCCCCAGAAAAGAGGGAACTGCCTTATTTTTGAAACCTTCACATTCTCTCACACTAAGGGGTACTCTCTCATTTGCCTTATTTGGGTCAACCCTTGTTATACTTTTACTGTTTGGGGAAGGTTACCTGTAAAGCCTGCAAATCCATACTGGTTTGGCCTGCTTCTATAGGTCACCCCACAGAATCAGAGTTATTTAAGAAAGATTCAGAAAATATAGATTCAGTGACTATTTTTGGTGGTATGATTTCATGAACTCAACCACAAATTTTGTAAAGAAGTCTTTCAATGACCACAAATCTGTACCTACAAGAAATTTTTTTTAAAGATTTTATTTACTTGAAAGAGAGCAAGAGTGAGAGTGATCACAGAGGGAGAGGGAGAAGCAGACTTCCCACCGAGCAGGGAGCCCAATGCGGGGCTCCATTCCAGGACCCTGAGATCACGCATGACCTGTGCTGAAGGCAGAAGCTTAACCAACTGAGCCACAGGTACCCCGGAAATTGTATTAAACTTGTACATGCACTAAACCTGGAGAGAACTGACATCTTCACTATGTTGAGTATTCTTAACGTAGTAACACAGTTTCTACATTTATTTAGATCGTTGATTTTTTTCATTAACATTTTGTTGTGTTCTGCATACAAGTCCTGTACATATTTTGTTAGATTTACACCTAAGTACTTCATTTATCTGAGCAGTTGTAAGTGGTGTTTTATTTCCAGTTTGGGTGTTCATTGCATCATTCATTCCTAGTACATAGAAGTATGATTGGGTTTTGTATGTTTGTTTACCTGGTATCTTGCAACCTTGCTGAACTCAATTTCAGCTGGAATTATTTTTGCAGATTCCTTGGCATTTTCTAAGTAGACAATCACGTCATATGCAAAGAGGGAGTTTTATTTCTCTCTCTCTCTGATGTATAAATGTTGATGGATATGCAACTACAACGTGCAACGGGTAGCGTTGCCCAAGAGGTAGAAGAGAACAGTGTGACTCTGACTTTGGGGAAAAAAAGAAGAGGATGTTTTCCGCAAACGCGGTTGCTGCAGCCATCTCTATTGTCAGGTGCTGGTGGTGGTGATGCTGCCTTTTGGTCTTAAAACCCTTCCAAATCTTTTCTCCGAAAGAGTCATCTCATCTTCTGGCTGTATTCTTAGGAGAGGAGGGTACTTGCGGTGCTGAGGGTAAAGCAGAAAATAGGTGAGCTTATTGCACAGATCCAGTAAATTGCCTGCAAACACCCCCAACCCCGTCCCCTACTCCCAAAACCCCTACCCCTGCCCGCCCGCCAGGGATCCCATAGGGGCAGCCAGGGCAGAAGGGACGGCTTTTCGGGGCTCAGTTCCTCCTAGGCGCGCGGGGGCGCTGTGACTTCTCTCCCGGCGCGGCGGCACTCTTTCTCAGCCTCCTCGGTAGGGACTGAGGCTTTCGGGACGGTGGCGGGAAGATGGCGGCACCCAGGGATTGGCTGGGAACAGTGGAAGCAGAGGGAAGCGCGGGGCGCCAGGCGAGCTCAGGAGTGGAGGTGGTATTTCCTTCCGATCCCGCCACCCCCGCCCCGCTGTGTCCTCACGGTGGGTGTGCGTCTGGGCTCAGCCGAGCTGTCGGGCGCGAGGGGCGGAGGTTAGCCTGAAGATGCCTTGGGCTTCTTAGGGCTCCCAGATTTGTATCTTCCTCGGTTTCACCATGTGTGATGCCAAAAAACGCCCTTTCCTGGGGACGTAGTGTTTTCAGTTTACTTAAGAAACTGTCATAGAAAGTCCTCACTGTGGTGGTTTTTGCTCCGTGGCTGTTACAGTCGTCCCCCCCCCCCCCCAAGGGAAGAGGCAGAGTCTAGGCAAAGGGGATGCCTGTTACTGAGTAAATCCATTGCCGAGTACTTGGGGATTTCATTGGTTGTTTTGCTTTTTATTTTAAAAAGTTAGGGGGAAGGATAGCATGAATTATTGCTCAGAGACCAGACCTAGTTTTTCTCTCAATTGTGGAGAGGATGTGCGCACATCCGACTCCAAAAGCTCAGATTTTCACTGAAAGGATAACTGGGTGGAGGTGGCAAAGCGCTCCGTTCTCTGGATCCCTTCCATATTTTTCGTCTCGGGACCCAGCTCATTCACCATGTAGACAGCAACTGACAATGGCATTTTCTTTCTGCAGAGACTAGTTTTCAAGAGTTATGCCTCAAGTAATCAGTGCCTAAATGTGATGGGGGGAAAAAAAGTAAACAGAGTGGGCTTAATTATGACAAATTGTGCATAAAACCAAATCAAGTTTTATTTAAGGGCAGTGAAAACTAGGAACTTGATGTAGATGATTATTGTTTGACATGTTTTTTTTTCCCATTCTGGAACTAGGACCTACTCTTCTGTTTGTAAAGGTGAACCAAGGGAAAGAAGAAACACGGAGATTTTATGCCTGCTCAGCCTGTAGAGATAGAAAAGACTGTAATTTTTTTCAGTGGGAAGATGAAAAGGTATATCAACTTTTTAGGCATTTTTTAAAATTTTTGATGTATGTGACAATTTGAGAATGTCTAAACCAATAAAAACATGCAACTTGAGCATTAAATGAAGTAAATCTCTTCAGATAGATGAAGATACTATGCTTTTTGATTCGACAGACTGGAGTTTATACTTACTCTAAACTTACTCTGAGTGCTGATGTTGTAAACGACTGTCTCAAAGACCGTTCCCTTTTAAGACTCTGAGGTGTCAATACTGGGTGGCTGATCTTTTATTTGCAAATACAAATTTCTCCCTAAAGAGCTTAGGTTGTGATCGTTCCAGGCAGTGTTTTAGAAAAACATTTTTTTTTTTAAACATTTGCATTGAGCATCCATTACAGCTACTGTATAACGGATGAAGGCATTTAGAGATATAGTTATGAGCTTGGTATCCTCTTGGTATCTAACTCAGCTCCAGTTAAAGTTTCTGAAAGTTTTGTTTAGAAAAATTTCAGCTTTGTTAGGTTTATTAGAAAACCGTCTTGTTTACAACTCTTCTGCACACCTGTTAAAATCACCATGTGTAAGATAATCTCTCAGTGCTTTAATATGTTAGGTATTGCTTCATGCTCCTCTAGAACTTTCCCAGTTTAATGTGTTTTGTTTTTGTTTTCCCCTGAAACAGATGCTTGTTTACAACATGGAGCTGCTTTAATTGGCTTCTTGATGTCAGAATGTGATACCAGTTTTTCTAGGATGATAGCAAGTTTGATAGTTTATTAAATGGTGCTTTTATTCCTTTTCAGTTGTCAGGAGCTAGACTTGCTGCCCGAGAAGCTCATAACCGAAAATGTCAGCCTCCTCTGTCCCGAACGCAGTGTGTGGAAAGGTGCTGATGTGTTGTCACTTTTATTTATTATTTTTGTTTTGTTTTGTTTTTCCCTGTGCCTTTGCACTTACTTTCATTTAAAAAAAAAATTTATTGTGGTAAAATATATGTAACATAAATTTGCCATTTTAATACTAAGTATACAGTTCAGTGGCGTTGATTATATCCACAGTGTTGTGCCATTTCCACAATTACCTATTTCCAAAACCTTTTCATCACCCCAAAGAGAAACTCTGTTACTATTAAGCAATGACTCCCCATTCCAATTCTTCCCAAACCCTGGTAACCTCTACTATACTCTATGGATTTGACTGTTGTAGCTACCTCATGTAAGTGGAATCATATATTTGTCCTTTTATGCCTGGCTTATTTTACTTACCATGTTTTCAAGGTTCATCCATGTTGTAGTATGTGTCAGAACCTCCTCCTTTTTATGGCTCAATAATATTCCATTATACACACACACCCATCTTGTTGATCTGTTCATCCATCAGTGAACACTTGGGTTGTTTTCCTCTTTTGGCTGTTGTGAATAATGCTCCAGTGAACATTGGCATACAAATATCTGTTTGAGTCTCTGTTTTCATTTCTTTTGCGTATATACTTAGGAGTGGAATTATTGGATCATATCATAATTCTGTGTGTAGTTTTTCGAGGAACCACCAAACTGTTTTCCACAGTGGCTGCACCATTTTACATTTCCCACCAGCAATGTATGAGGGTTCCACTTTTTCCACATCCTTGTCAACACTTATTATTTTCTGTTTTTTTTTGGTTATCTTAGTTGTGAAGTGATGTGTCATTGTGGTGTTGAATTTTGGGTCCCTAATGAGTAATGATGTTGATTATCTTCGTGTGCTTATTGGCCATTTGTGTATGTTCTTTGGAGAAATGTCTGTTCAAGTCCTTTGTTAATTTTTTTTTTTTTTAAAGATTTTATTTATTTATTCATGAGAGACAGAGAGACAGAGGCAGAGGGAGAAGCAGGCTCCCCGCGGAGCAGGGAGCCCGATGCGGGACTCGATCCTAGGACCCTGGGATCATGACCTGAGCCGAAGGCAGACGCTTAACCGACTGAGCCACCCAGGAGCCCCTTACCTATTTTTTTTTTTTTTTAAAGATTTTACATTATTTCAGACAGAGAGAGTGAGAGAGAGCACAAGCAGGGGGAGTGGCAGGCAGAGGGAGAAGCAGGCTCCTTGCTGAGCAAGGAGCCTGATGCTGGACTCGATCCCAGGACCCTGGGATCACAACCCGAGCCAAAGGCAGACGTTTAACTGACTGAGCCACCCAGGCGTCCCCCTTTGTTCATTTTTAATAGGATTGTAATTTTTGTTGATGAATCATAGGAGTTCTTTATATGTTAAGGGCTGTTAACGCCCTTAACAGATACACGATTTTTACAAGCTCTCTCCTGTTCTGTAGATTGCCTTTTCACTTTTTGATGATGTCCTTTGATGCACCAGAGTTTTTAAATTTGATGAAGTCCAATTTATCAGATTTTTGCTTTTGTTTTCTTTGCTTTTGATGATATAGCTAGGAATCCATTGTCATATCCACTGTTAGGAAGATTTACCATAATGTTTCTTTTTTGAAATACTAAAAGAACTAAACCATTTTTTGGAAGTTGTGAACATCTCTTTTTAAAAAAGCTACATTGTTGAAATGCTTTATTGGGTGACTGGGAATTGAATCCTAGATTTAATTCTTTGGAGACCTGTGAAAAGCCACCTTCTCCTGTGTCATAGGCCTTGTTTGTAAATGCTGGGAGAAGCTCCTTAAGAAGGTCCTGGTCTGGGTTGCTGGTAACGAATAGGTTTTTACTCTCAAGGCAACTCCTTTAGTTACCTGGGCTGTTGTGTTCAGAAGGATTCTGAGGTCTTATCTATGTTAAGTGGAAAGGAGAACTGGGCTCTCTTAAAAATACCTTTCTTGAACTTGTTACATTGTGAAGTCTTTTGATGGAGGAGGCTGTTTCTTAAGATAACTTGATCACTCCTAACCAAAGTACTTAATCAGTGATAACTACTTGCTATATGGAAATTCAGTCAACAACAAAAAATATTTACAAGGGAATTAATGTAAATTGAGCACTACTGTGAGCCAGCTAGTGTGCTGTGTTTGACAGGAGAATTACGTAATCTTGCTAAGGTGGGTCACTTAGATGAGAAAATTGAGGCCTGGAGAAGTTGAGTGACTTCATTAAGCTATCACTATTAGAATGACTTAGCAGTGACTCCGACTTATGCCTCTGATTTTAAAATGTTGTTTTTAGACATAAAAGCAGATCGTAATTAACATATGGTGCGTAACGATTTAAGGAGATTTAAGAAGATAAAACGTGAGTTACATAGAGATACAATGAGATTATCATAATGACATAAAATAGAATATCAAAGTTGCAGAAAGTAGAAAGTAGAAAAACATCACCCATTGTTTCTCCCTTTGAACCCATCACCTTGTTCATTTTGTAGTATTTTCTCCTGGTCTTTTTTTTTTTTTTTTTTTTACACCTGTGCCAAAGTTTGTTTTACAAGATCGTAGCCATAATGTATACATAGTCTCTTGTACTTTGCTTTATGGATTTTATCTGATAAGCTTTTTTTTTATGTTGTGACATAGGATATTGGTAATTCAGTTAAACTCTATAAGAAACTGTAGGTGATCTTGTTTCCTTGTGTAATAAAATTTTAGTCGGGAGCTAAACCACTGTTCTTTGTACTGCCAGGGTGTGTTTTTTTGATAATAATTTTGGAAATTCATATTTCATGTTAATTAGAAAATAAAAATACTGGCTAAAATGTGAAGTATTAAAGAATCTTCAGAAGGTCATTTCTTGGAGGTCATACTTTCATCTGTAATCTAGTGCTGATTCTTGAGAGCAGGTCTTAATAAAATAATTCTCCATATTTTAAATCCTCTGTAACCCATAACCTTGGATTTTGTTGCCCAAGCTTGCTTGCTTAATTGCTTCCTTCTTTCCTTCCATCCATGTATTCATTCTTTATTGAGGGCTCAAAAAGAACTTAAAATGCTGGTAGTGGAGTTGAGATATGCAAAGATAATGCAATGCTAAGAAGATTGTGCTAAATGTAGAAAATATTGATAGGAAAAACCGAGTGCTCTGGAAAGTCAGCAACGACGCAGCTACCTCGTGCTGTCGCCAATCAATACAGTTTAAGGACTTGCGCAGGTTTTGAAGGGTGGGGAGAAGTTGAAGCTTTTTGAAATGTATCATTGATTTCGCTGCCTCACTTTGGGATTGATGCTGTCATGCTTGCTTTGGGGCCTTCTGTGGAGAAAAACATTTGAAAGCAGGCATTCCTCTAAAAATTTAAACTTTTGGCTTTTTAAAATCAAAAGTTTACTAACTTACTTATTCCGTGTTGCTAAGTTCCCTCTTCTCTTAGATGAGAAAATGGAGACTAGCCGTTCATCGTTGTGTGTAAATGAACCTAAGGATGATGTACTATTACTTGAGATTGTAACTGTTTTCTTTTTTTTTTTTTTAAAGATTTTATTTATTTATTCATGAGAGACAGAGAGACAGAGGCAGAGGGAGAAGCAGGCTCCCCGCAGAGCAGGGACCCCGATGCGGGACTTGATCCCAGGACCCTGGGATCATGACCTGAGCCGAAGGCAGACGCTTAACCGACTGAGCCACCCAGGCGTCCCAAGATTGTAACCGTTTTCAAAGTTAACTTTCTACAACTCATTTATAAATATCTTATGAAATAAGTCGTCCATTTGAAAGTATTAAAATGCATTTAAACATATTCCTGTTCTATAATGCAAACCTTCATCTGTCGCTGTTGAAGTCACAATAGCTTTTCATTGATAATTCCTTCTCCAAATTGTTAGAAAGGAATTGTGGTAGCTAGCAAGATAAATTGGCCCATGTTACTTGATTTTTATTATGGAGCTGGCAGTGCTCCGCAGATATCTGCGTGCTACAGAACAGGATTTGATATTCGTTTTTTAATCTCACTCTTTGAACCATGCTTTATATTTCATGTGTTCAGTTGACAGATTTACATCTTGTGTCTGAGATTTGACTTCCTGATAGTTTTTAGCTGCCTCTTAACGCCCTGAAATGCCATTCTGTTATGTACTATGTTGGCACCTTATTGTGACCTATGAAGTCTTAGAGAAGATATATTTTAATGCTAAAATAAGCATTAATTTATGTGCATCCATATAGTTTTGTTTAGTTGATATTTCATTTGGTTATGTTTTTTCAGAGCTCATTTAAACTCAGATTTTCAAGGTCTGCTATTAGGGAAATGCCATAAACATAATTCGTCTACTCCAAGAAAGGCAAATGGAACATCAAACGGAGATCAATAAAAATGACATTTCAAAATGCTAGCCTGCAAATTGTGAATCATGCTGAGCCATGCAGTGGAATGAATTTCCTCTGCCCCTTGGGTATGTGTAGAAAGTATAATGAGGAGAGAGCGCTGAGTAAGCCTCAGCCCTTACGCTCTCATGTTCTTCCTACCATACTTCTAAAAAACCTTGTTTCTGAATGTTAAATTTAAAGCAGTATACTTGAATGATTATGATGTGCTTTTGAGTAGAAAGAAGTATGCATGAGATCTCCGTTTATCTTCTGTCAAGAAAAGGTTAATAAACTAGCAGAAAAGCTTTCTGAGAAACGGTTTTGACAAGGCACAAAGATATATAAGTGGAGGTTCATTTAACAGTATTCTTCTTTTCCTTTGTTTCAAAGTAATTAAACTTGGTGTCCTAAGCACCATCAGAGAGTCCTGTGTATGAGCGAATTGTACTCCAATCCTTCATGATTTCAAACCATCTTTCATTTCTTCCTGGTGATTTGGCAGCTTCTCCTGCCCTCAGTGGGCATCACTTGGTGAGGGATAGGCAGTCCTTCTGATTGTGTTTAAGTAACAGAACCTGACACAGCTTTACCTATGGGGATCTTCCTTCTCTTTTTTCCTTTAAGGCCCTTGATTGTTGTTGTCATTCTTTCAAGGATG